GCCCGTTTCTGGAAGTAACTTTTAACGCAGGTCTCCCTGGTCATATTTATCATCTCCAGTCATCATCCTTTTCTTTTAATTTGTTATTTTGCTTCTTTAAACATTTTAAGTATAGGGATTTAAAAAATTCTTTATCTTGTAATTCCAATTTCTACAGCCCTGAGGGATAATTGGGAAGTTTGTTGTGTCTTCCCGTTCTTACTCATGATGGCTAAAAACTCATATTTGCATGAACTTAATCTGTAGTAATCTTGTGAAGTTTGCATTAAAAGTGATTTTCCCAAAGATAATTTGTATGTTCTTCATTAAGAATCCCAAGGTGCCCAACCCAGGATCACATTAAGATAGTTTCTTGAGCTTCGTGAGTATATAAATCCAAATTTTACATCTGTTTGATGTCAAGAGCTGTGGTTTCAAATTCTTATCAGGGAACTATTTTGTGTGTGTGTGGAGATAAAGCAGAGAAAAGCTAGTCAATGGACTGCCTCCCTTTGCTAAGTAGTAGACTATTTCTGCCTACCCTTTCACTGGAGGGGTAGTCTTCTGAATCATGGCTTTATTTCAGAAGTTTCTGTCCCAACTTCTAAGCTTGCATGAAATCTAAGCCATTCTCCCCATCCCACACAGAATGTTGAATTTAAGCCTCTAACTGGAACTTTCATACATTGCTAATGAGAGTGTAAAATAGTATAGCCACTTTGAAAAATTCAATGGCATTTTTTATAAAGTTAAACATACACTTAATATATGGCCCAGCAATCCCACTCTGACATATTTACCCAAATAAAAATGAAAACTTTTGTTCATACCAAAGCCTGTATGCAAATGTTTTAATAGCTTTATTTATAAATGCTAAAAACTCAAAACAACCTAAATGTTCATGAACTAAGGAATGAATAAACAAATTGTAGTATATCCATACAACAGAATTGGAATGTTACTCGGCAACAAAAAAGAATGAATTCCTGATATACACAACAACATGGGTGAACCTCAACATATATACATACTTACATAAATGGTTCCATTTATAATGCATTCTGGGAAAGGCAAAACTATAGGGCCAGACAACAAATCAATGGTTGCTAGACATTTAGGATGAGGAGAAGACTTCAATAAAGTGCAGCACAAGGGAATTTTTGGAGGTTATGGATCTTTTATCTTGATGGTAGTTACATGACTGCATAGATTTTCCAAAACTTACAGAACCATACATTTAAAGAGGAGAATTTTATCGTATATAAATTACACCTTAATTTTTAAAAAAGGAAAAGGAAAGAAAAGCCCAGGACCAGATGGTTTCACTGGTGAATTCTACCAAACACTTAAAGAATTAATGCCGGGCTTCCCTGGTGGCGCAGTGGTTGAGAGTCCGCCTGCCGATGCAGGGGACACGGGTTCGGGCCCCGGTCCAGGAAGATCCCACTTGTCGCAGAGTAGCTGGCCCCGTGAGCCACGGCCGCTGAGCCTGAGCGTCTGGAGCCTGTGCTCCGCAATGGGAGAGGCCACAACAGTGAGAGGCCCACGTACCACAAAACAAAAAAAAACAACAACAACAAAAAAGAATTAATGCCAATCCTTCTCAAACTCTTTCAAGAAACTGAAGAGGCAGGAACACTCCCAAACTTATTGTTCAAGGCCAGCATTAGCCTGATACTAAAACCAGATAAGTACACTACAGAAAAAGAAAACTATAGACCAGTATCTTTGATAAATATAGATGCAAAAATTCTCAAAATATTAGCAAACCAAATTAAAGAGTACATTAAAGGAACATACACCATGATCAAGTGAGATTTATCCCTGGGATGCAAGGATGATTCAACATATGCAAATCAATAACTGTGATACACCACATTAATAGAATGGAAGATAAAAATCATGATCATATCAGTAGATGCTCTGTCAAAAACATCTGACAAAATGCAGTATCCTTTCATGATAAAAACACCCAAGTTGGGCTTCCCTGGTGGCACAGTGGTTGAGAGTCTGCCTGTCGATGCAGGGGACACTGGTTTGTGCCCTGGTCCGGGAGGATCCCACATGCCACGGAGCGGCTGGGCCCGTGAGCCATGGCCGCTGAGCCTGCGCATCCGGAGCCTGTGCTCCACAACGGGAGAGGCCACAACAGTGAGAGGCCCGCGTACCGCAAAAAAAAAAAAAAAAAAAAAAACAGAAACACCCAAGTTGGGCATAGAAGGAACACGTTTCAACATAATAAAGGCCATATATGACAAGCCCACAGCTAACATCATACTCAACGGTGAATGGTTGAAAGCTCTTCTTCTAAGATCAGGAAAAAAGACAGGGTGTCTACTCTCACCACTCTTAAGTCAACATAGTACTACAAGTCCTAGACAGAGCAATCAGGCATGAAAAAGAAAAAAAAAAAAGGTTTCCAAATTAGAAAGGAAGAAGTAAAAATGTCTTTGCCTGCAGATATGATCTAATACACAGAAAATCCTAAAGACTCCACCAAAAAGCTTTTATAACAAATCAGTGAAGTCAGTAAAGTTGCAGGGTACATGATCAAAATATATAAATCAGTTGCATTTACATACACTAACAACAAAATATCCAAAAAAGAAATAAAACAATTTCATTGACAATAGCATCAAAAATAATAAAATATTTAGGGATAAATTTAACCAAGGAGATGAAAGATCTGTATACTGAAAACTACAAGACTTTGATTAAAAACTGAAGAAGACACAAACAAATGGAAAGATATCCCATATGTTCATGGATCAGAAGAATTACTACTGTTAAAATGTCCACACTACCCAAAGCAATCTGTAGATTCAATGCAATTCCTTTCAAAATTCAAATGGCATTTTTCACCGATATTGAAAAAATAACCTAAAATTTGTATAAAATCACAGAAGACCCCAAATAGCAAAAGTAATCCTGAGAAAGAACAAAGCTGGCATCACACTTCTGGATTTCAAACTGTACTACAAAGCTATAGTAATCAAAACAGTATGATACTAGCAAAACAACAGCAACAACAACAACAACAGACACACAGACCAATGGAACAGAATTGAAAACCCCAAAATAAATCCTTGCCTATATAGTCAACTAATATTTGCAAACCATATGCCTGATAAGGAGTTAATATCCAAAATATACAAAGAACTCATACAATGCAATAGCAAGATAAAGTCTGATTTTAAAATTGGCAGAGGAACTGAAGAGACATTTTTCCAAAGAAGACATGCAAATAGCCAAAAGGTACATGAAAAGGTGCTCAGCATCACTAATCATCAAATAATGCAAATAAAAAACCGTTATGAGATATCACATTATACCTTTTAAAATGCCCATCATCAAAAAGACAAGAGATATGAGTGTTGGAGAGGATTAGAGAAAAGGGGAACCTTGTGCACTGTTGATAGAAATGTAAATTGGCACCGCCACTATGGATAGCAACATAGAGGTTCCCCAAAAAGTTGAAAATAGAACAGCCATATGATCCAGCAAGCCCACTTCTGGGTGGCTTCCGCATAATTTGGGGTATATATCCAAAGGAAATGAAATCACTACCTCATAGAGATATCTGCAGCCCCATGTTCACTGCAGAATTATTCATAATAACCAAAATATGGAAACAACCTAAGTGTCTGTAAACAGATAAATGGATAAAGAAGATATGGTATGTCTATGTGTGTGTACGTACACACACACACACACACACACACACACACGCACACACACACGAGTGGAATATTACTCAACCACGAAAAAGAAAATAATCCTGCCATTTGCAACATGGATGGACCTTGAGGGCATTATGCAAAGTGAAACAAATCAGACAGAGAAATAATGTACAGTATCACTTATATGTGGAATCTAAAAACCTGACTCATAGAAACAGAGAGTAGCATGATGATTGCCAGGGTTTAGAGGGAGTGGGGGAAATGGGAAGATGTTGGTCAAAGAGTACCAGCTTCCAGTTATAATATGAATAAGTTCTGGGGATCTAATGTACAGCATGGTGATTATAGCTAATAATATTGTATTATATAATTGAAAGCTGCTAAGAGAGTAGATCTTAAATGTTCTCACCACAAAAAAGAAATGATAATTATATGATATGATGGAGATGTTAGCTAACATTATGGTAGAAATCATTTTGCAATATATTAAGTGTGTCGAACTGTTGTATACCTTAAACACACATAATGTTATATGTCATTGATATCTCAATAAAGTTGGAATAGAGAAATAGATTAAAAGAAAGAAAAGGAATAAACTTAAATATCTAACTTCCTGATATTGGCCTACATCCCTCTGGTTTTCACTCTCCTTCATGTATTTAGCCTCTAAGGATATACCTTATTATAAGTGCAATGACAAATCATAAAAGATTTCTGTTGTTTTATCCAGCATTTACAGGCATTTTGAAGCAAGAGGATTTTAAAAATATCTAGTCGACCATACTGCCAGAAGCAAAATTCTGCCATTCTATTGAAGAACAAGACAATCTTTAAATTTCATGATGTTTTTAACTTTTTCAATTCACTTTATCACTGAATCCTCACGTTTCTATGAATGCAGTTATTGTATTGGGTTGGCCAAAAAGTGCGTTCAGGGTTTTTCCAAAACACCTTATGGGAAAACTCGAACGAACTTTTTGGCCAACCCAATATTACCCTCTTTATAGACAGGAAAACCAAAGCTCATGGAAGTTGAGTCGCTTCTTATTGATTATCTAGACTAGACATCCACCCAAAACTGAATTAACAGGTTCTGACAATGAAAACCAATTTGAAGATTACCTTAAATCTCCCAGAAGTAGGGCAATGAGAAACATTTTGAGGATTATTTACATTCTGGATCATCCATATCTGGCAGTAGAGTGAAGTGTGTGACCTTGGGCAAGTCATTGAACTCTCTGTCTAGTCTCAAAACACCTACGTCAGAGAACTGTTGTGACAATTAAATGATTAAATTCACATCAAGCACACAGAAAAGCAAAAGTAGAAAGTAGTGCTTACTCTGAATAAACCATGCTTTTGGTTGCGTTGACCAAGCCATAAATTGCTTCCTGGGGGAAGGTTGGTCTCAGGAGGGTCTATCACACGTTCATAAATCCTATAAGGGCAAACAACACAGTTACTAATAAAGAGGCTCAAAGCAGAACCAAAAGGTACATGCACACTGTTTGAAGTACTCATGGCATTAGCAGCTGGTATAGAGAGATGAAGCCAATATGTGGCACATTTCAGATGACAGGTAACATAAACAGATCTGTTTCCTGACAACACTTAGACACATTATCTGGGCCCCTCCTGGCTTTCTATCTTTGCCCTTTTGGCAGGGGAAGAAGGAAAAGGGTAACATTTTTGAGTGTCTATATTCTGAGCAACAAATTACATACAAACTCTGTGAGTAAAGTGGTTTTGTCCATGTTACAGGTGAGAAAGCTGAGGTTCAGGGACCGTAAATGGGTCAACCAAGACAGCCAGGGAACAGTAAAGTTGGGATGAGAATCTCCACCTGTCTGGCTGCAAAGCCCATGTACTCTCCTTTGTGCTCTACTACTCCCTGACTGCTTTATTCAGCTGCTACTCATTTCTACAGTAACCTCCTCTGCCCCTCTAAATAACTGAGTAGCAGCTGCACACATGATAATGTGCCTAGTGTTCAAAATCAAGTAACTGAAGTCATCATCCAATGAACAAATATTTATTGAGGATTTCTTTATGCTCCAAGCTCCATACAAGGCAACAGGAGACAGAGCAATAAACCAGACGTACAAAGTCCCGCCCTCATAGAGTAAAAGACAAAATTCTGTACATGAAGAAAACCTTCATATGATATAGTAAGACATATAACTAATACAGAGAAGGCAACAGTCCCAGGATCTTTGAAAGCACTGATAAAAACCTACTCAACAACTGAATTGCTCTGTTGAGCAATTCAATTGAATTGTCTCAGTTGCTCTGCCCTCCCAAGCCCCACGTCAGTCAGTTACAAATCCTGAAATTTAGAAACAGTCCCTGTAACCACCAGCTGATCACAGGCCTCCACCTCACCCCTGGCAAGTACCTTCCAGCACCTGAGTACTGAGAAGGGAAAGGAAGAGCTTGCCTAAGAACTGAACTTGTCTCCTTAGATGCTCAGAAGATTCTGAATGGGGTGAGATATAGGGACCATCTGTGAACTTCCATTCCTCATGATGGCCCTGTCCATTCCATTCATTCCTCTGTCCTTACTTGGAGCAGCCATGGGGAGAATCATCCCCCAGGTAGGTCCAGAGGTCTAACAACTCATCAATCCTCCCAGCTGGGATGCAGCTGACTGCCTCCTGGCAGAGAGTGATGGATTCCTCCAGCAGCTCTCAGTAGGAAAGTGCGGAAGACCTGAAGGATTGTCCAGTTGTGTCAAAGCCAGTGAATGGTTGCAAGGCCGTTGCAGCTGGGAACTATCACACTGCAGTCTTACATCTTAGCCACATCATGCATTACTCTCCTATTCCCCACTGGAAACATGCTGTTCCCTAACAATACATACAAAGTATTCAACTGACAAAGATCTAAATATATCAGATCCCTCTCTATTAATTATCTTTCCATTATAAATGGAGGCTCGAAACATAATCAAGGAAAAATAAGTTTCCCTGAAAAAGACAGCCTGTGTTTTCTCCACAAAAATGCAACCTTTCTTTCTGTATGTTAGAAGGAAACATTTTAAATGAAACAATTTGTCAAAACTGCTTTAATACAAGAAGATGCTATATACTTCCTTAAAAAAGTTTTTTTCTAATATTAGTGAAAAACTAGAAACAAGCCAAACTTACAACAAAAGAGAAACACATACGTTACAGTAGTTCAGCTTGACAGAATTTACTAGTCATTAAGAGTGATTAAATATGCAGGTTATGAAATGTGGGAAAATATATACAAAATAATTTTCACCAGAGGAAAGTAGAATGCAAAATTATTTATGCACTATGGACATAACGATGCAAAACTTATGTTCAACACTGGTGAATTTCAGAGGAGGCCAGAGAGAAAAGGAAATTGCTATTTAGGGGAAGAGGCAGAAGCATAATTTTCTAGGAGTTCATTTCACTAAAAAATTGAAAATGTTGTCAAACTATTTATCTTCACCTTCATTTTAAAACATTTGCATCTATCAGAGTGAGAGGAGCTTTCCATTCAAATGCTTTCTTTTTGGTTTTCAATATGCTAGAATGTGAGCTCCAATGAGCAAAGGAGGCCTTTATCTAATGTTTACTAAGTGCAGGATCCTGGACTGGATCTGGGGGCAGGAAAAAAGAAAATCTCATAAAGGACATTAGTAGAAAACTGGTGAAATCTGAATAGAAACCGTAGATTACAAAATAGTATTGGTGTTCAATTTCCTGATTTTGAGAACGTGGATAGTGTTTATTTAAATGTCTTGTTCTTAGGAAATATGCACTGTAGTATTTAGGGGTAGAGGGTCATGAGGTTTGCAACTTACTCTCAAAGCGCTCAAAATAACAATGTGTATATACACAATATAAATACATACATATGTAAACACACATTATTACTTTGAGAGACAGAGCAGAATCTGAGCAAAGTGTTTATGATTGTTTTTTGGACCATTCTCAATTTTTCTGTAGGATTAAAATTATATTAAGCTAAAAATTTTAAAAAGAGTGAAAAAGCTAAAAAGGTCTATAATTATGTAAACTAAAACTACATACATGCAAAACTATTTTATCGATTAGCCAAAGATATACACAAACTTTAAGAGTCACATAAGGTATACGACAGTGTTTTCCTAAAGGAATGGGAATGGTTGGAGGTGGGGGTAGTGAAAGGAAGGAAGGGAGGGAGGTGGGGAGAGGAGAGAGGGAAAGTGAGGAAGGAAGGAAGGAAGGGAGGGAGGGAGGGAGGGAGGGAGGGAGGATTGCATGGATTAATGCTGATAATATCTCATAAACTAAGAAACAGGATTATCACATCCCTAACCTCACCCTTGTACAGGGGGAGTTATGACACCAACATACCAGACAAATACAATCAGAATCTTGGCAAAAGGGCTGCTGATCCCTGAGCTGGACTGGCTCATGCAAATAAGCTGGTAGGGCACAATGATCTACCACTTAAATGTAGTATTGCCCAAATCAACTGAAATGAAAAGTCAAAGCTAATACATAAACTCCTTGGTTTCCAGTGTGGTCAGGAAATCGAATACTGTATTCTGATATTCTACTCTTCTGATTAATGAGGTTTCCTTCCCATCCGGAAACATCTGACTATCTACAATGTGTGTGACACTCTGTTGGCTATGGGGACACACAGGCGAAGTTAGCACAGCCAAGTTCCTGCCCTCAGGTGAAATGCCTGAGCCAGACAGACAACACACCCACACACACCTTACAATTCAGTGCAATAAGTGCAAGGATCTGCGGAAGCAGAGAAGAAAGAAAATATCGTGTAGCTGACTCACTTTGTTATACAGCAGAAACTAACACAACGTTGTAAAGCAATTATACTCCAATAAAGATATTTTTTAAAAAACAGAAAAGAAAGGGAAGACTTTCCAAAGGGGACACTACAGCTGAGTTGTGAATGAAGAATAAAGTAGAGCTGACACACCCACATAACAGCCAGCACTTACACAGTACCAAGTGTGTGTCAAGCATTTGTACTAAGGACTTTCCTTATATTGATATACTTAATCCTCACAATACCACCATCAGGCAGGTATTCTTGGCTTGGCAAGGTTAAATAACTTGTCCATGTTTAGGCAGCTGGTGAATGGCAGAGCTGGGATTTGAGCCCAGACCCCAAGTCTGTGCTATTCACTCAAATAAATTAAAATTCCTGGGACTTCCCTGGTGGCACAGTGGCTATGAATCCGCCTGCCAACGTAGGGGACACGGGTTCGGGCCCTGGTCCAGGAGGATCCCACATGCCGCGGAGCAACTAAGCCCGTGTGCCACAACTCCTGAGTCTCAGTGACGCAACTACTGAGGCCAGTGCACCTAGAGCCCGTGCTCCACAACAAGAGAAGTCACTGCAATGAGAAGCCCACGCACCGCAACGAAGAGGGGCCCCCGCTCGTCGCAATTAGAGAAAGCCCGCGCACAGCAACGAAGACCCAACGCAGCCAAAAATAAATAATAAATTTATAAAAAAAAAAAAAAGGAATTAACAGCATTAACTTCTGTTGCTGTTTAACCTGGTTAGAGTGCACACTGACAACCTACTTAGATTCTAAACTTTGGATTAAAACAAAATTTTTGGACAAAGTACATTTTCTATGACATACCAAAATCCCAGTATTTTTACTATGTTAGTTTTGAAATGTCATTCATTAGCTTTTTTCAATTCTTTCAAGACGTAAGTCACAAACTTTTCTATGCAAATTAAGCAAACATCTTAATATCTTTTACATCCCTCCAAAAAATGTAATTCTTTGACATTTACAAAAGCTTGACTTTTGTTGAAAGTTCATCATAAACTCACATTAGACAGGAGAAGGGCTCAGGAAAAAGAGGTATAAGAAATATTTTATAATATATTAGACTGTACGTTTGAACACACAATCAACAAACCAAGAACAACAACAAAATACATAGTTTTTATATGAGTAAAATATGACAAGACACTACTCCTAACACTTTTGCCTAATCCAGTACTAGGCACTTTCCTACTCCATTTGGGATCTTAATTGGATTTAGCCAATCCATATAAAAGGTTTCTGGGGAAACAAAAAATGTCAGCAGTAAGCCAAAGCCCTCTATGTTCTTACTTCAGGCCGTCCTTATTTATCCTTTTTATATATATTATTTTTTATGTATTCTTTTTTTTTGGCGGGGGTGGGTACGTGGGCCTCTCATCATTGTGGCCTCTCCCGTTGCAGAGCACAGGCTCCAGACGCGCAGGCTCAGTGGCCATGGCTCACGGGCCCAGCCACTCCTCAGCATGTGGGATCTTCCCAGACCGGGGCACGAACCCGTGTCCCCTGCATCAGCAGGCGGACTCTCAACCACTGCGCCACCAGGGAAGCCCATTTTTTATGTATTCTGACTGCCCTGTATTTTGGTTCTTTACTGATCTCTGAGACCCTGCCCACTTGGATGGCCCATT